TTACTTGAATTGTGATATCAGTTGACCGTTCTAGGTGTCAGTATTTGAACACTGAGTACTCAGGTACCCATAGGTTGAGTTCTCACAATGAATTGCCATTGTGTTAAAGCCCTTAAATGACACTATATGGTGGTTGCTGTTGCTTTAAGAATCAGAGTTGTTGATCCAACAGTAACAGTGCAGCCTCAGTCTTCTTCTACTCTTCCTCATACCCCCTCCTCCCAACACATTTCTTTAGAGGACTTGTGTTTTGGAATGCCATGTGGCGTCTCTCTCTCTCTCTCTCTGGCGTAACCATCCATTTGTGTGCACGCGTGTGTGAGAGAGACTGTATGTCTTTGTCTGTCTGTTTCTCTCTCTCTCTCTCTGTCTCTCTCTCTCTCTCTCTCTCTCTCTCTCTCTCTCTCTCTCTCTCTCTCTCTCTCTCTCTCTCTCTCTCTCTCTCACACTTCTTGTTCCTCACTCCAGCTCATGAAGGGTTAAAACCTGCCTCACTCTCACTCACACACGCACGCACACACACACACACACACTTACCGGTTTAAACCGGTTCTCAGGAAAGTGCTTTGTGTGGCCCACTGAATCCTGGGAAGGGTCATGTGTGGCTCAGTGATGTCAGAGAGAGAGAGAGAGAGAGAGAGAGAGAGAGAGAACTTGAGTCAGCTTTCCTTTATCAAGTGTGTGTGTGTGTGTGTGTATGTATGTATGTGTATATATATATATATATATATATTAAAAGTGAGTGGTGGTGGTGATGAAGCTCTTCCTGGAAAACATTTTGAGTTGTGCTTTAGGCCTGTGCCATAACTTCTGTCTAGAGGAAGAGTTACTACGATGGTGTGCGCGTGCGCTCTCTCTCTCTCGAGAAAGGGTTAATGTTATGTTTAGCTCTTTTTTTTCTGCGCTGTAGCTTCCTGTTATGCATCAGTGAGCAGATGAGGTTCCAGAACCTTCTGTATTTCTAACTCCACTACAGGGTCCCTCTCACCCCCTGCTGAGGAGAGACTGACCATGTCTGAAAATATGCCCTGTTAACTAGGGGTGGGCGATAAGGCAAGAAATATATCATCACAGTGCATGAAGACAGTTTTACAGTATAAATGATTTGCATCATCATATTTAGTTTTTCTGAGGTTAGAACAGACACATTGTACCAGCAGTGTCACAAAATGCTATCAAAACTAAGTATGATGGTTTTATTCAGCATTTCACATTTGGGATGTGCAGTGGTCTTCGAGTACTCGGTTAACTGTGTGAGGTGCCAGTGTTCAAATACTGAAATCACTTTTTATGTTTCATCGCAGGAAGATGGAGAAAATATACAGATGAACTATTCAGTGAAATTGCTGGATTCAAAAGTAAGCATGTTGTGGTTTGCTTTTTCGGAATACAGATACCTGAATGTGGACTTGTTGCCAAGTAAGCGTTAAAGATGTGACCGAGAAAGCACAGGTGTACCACATGCACAGAATAGCTTACTATGGGTGCTCTCAAGTGGCAAAACTGTCTAAGCGTTCACCTCATGATTCAGAAAAGTTTCATCCCCATTGATGTGACAGCCATTCGTGACTGCGAGTCCAAGAAAGCATAACTGGCCTCTCTCTCACTGGGTGGGTAGGATGGTCTTCTCCTCCCGCATCACTGTGTAGTGCTGGTCAACAGGTGTCTGTTAGCTAATGTAGAAGAAAAGCCAATTAGTGTTCTCCTCCAAGCGTGTTGAGCTGTTTAATGACGTTAGTTTGAAAAGATGTGGTGCAGCCTCATGTGTCTCGGAGGAAGTTTGTGCTAGCCTTCACCCTCAAACTTGATAACATCGTATGATCAGTAGAGACCTACCTAGTAGTAGTAGAAGTAAAATCATACTGCCATAGAGTCTGAAAATACAGTGGGGAATATCCAGAGCACTCTCTACAGATAGTAAACAATGTACTCTAGCAGACACTTAATACCCATAATGCACTGTCCCAAATGCAGCAGACTGTGACTACTTGAATCACATCTGATGTTCCTTATGATGGTGATCTGTACTTCTCCTGATTTTTCAAATGTAGGGAATAATGATTTGGATACCATTTCAAGACTGCAACTGTCTCCTTTCTATTCTGGTCTGTCTGTCTGTCTGTCTATCATGTAATATGCAAACCTTGTTGATGTTTTAAAATGTTGTTCACTCCCCAGTCCATGCAGTCCATATATTAAAATTAAGCTGCAAAATGGTCTGGTTTTGTAATGTCACAGAAACCCAAACACATTTTACATATAACTGTCTATTCTGTCTATAGCAGTCTACTGTTTTTAGTGCATAAACTGAAATAAATATAGCAAGTGGACATGGCTGAACAATATAGGTTATGTTCACTTCTGCTGCCTGATACTACAATAAAGGGTCTTGACAGGCCTGGGATGCAAGAAAAAGTGTTCTGTTTGATCCGTCAATGGCACTTGCAGCTGGTGTGAGTTGTGCGTCATCTCTTGCTGTTTTTGCTGTTGAAGGCATTATAGATGTGTGTTGCAGCAGTGTTTGCATTCTGAGGTGCAAGTCTGAAGTTGCTGACAGTGACAGAAATTTTCGAAGGCACTAATTTGGCCACTGGTGAGCGTCTTATATTTAGCATTCTAAGACCACAGATTTTATCTCACAACAAAAGAATGCTGCTGTCTTTTGTCCCTGCAATATCGAAGAAATCATAGAGTCAAAAGCTCTGTGTTCATTTGATACATGCAGTCATTCGGACACATTGCAGTGTGCTACAGGAACCAATGGGGGCAATATGGCTTCTATTTGCCATAAAGGAAATCACTTGTTGTACAGACAGAACTTTTTTTTCCAGTGGTGCTTTGATGAGCCATGTTGAGAAGAAACACTGCAAAGGCATAATGGTTTAATAACAGATGATAGTCTCTAGAATTCATTAGTCTGTCTTTAGTTGCAATGCTACTGTATTTTGACCTTAACTATTTGTAGCTTTGTAGATCTGCCTGTTCGTGGCAGAAGTGCTGCTCTGTAGGGTCAGAGGGGCATAATCACTGTGGCCCAGCCAGCACAGCACTATAGCAGTATTGGGTTAAGATCTTTCAAATGGATCCTTTTGTATCACTGACTCTTACATGTAGTCATTGATCCTCATCTGAGACCTTCTCATGGACTCTTGAGTGCCCTCATGTTTTTTGTTGTCATTGCCTCTAGCAGTGCCCAGTCTATAGCAAGGAAGATCTTCATTCTGTTTGTCTTTAAGTTAAAGCTCTCCACCCATCTGCAGCTGGTTGTCAGCGTTCTCCAGCCACGGATTACCTGGCTGAGGTATGTGGGGAGCTGGAGTAGAGCGAAAAACGTGGACTGGTTGAGGGAAGGGCTGAATAATTTCGGCAGAATATCGAATTGCGATTTTTCTGACCAATTCTAACCTGATTTTCCTTTTAGGAAAGTCTTTCCACTTTACGGCCATGTAGGTTCCCAGGGAGTTATTTCCAGTCGTATAAGACCAGGCTTCTAACTCTTAGAATGTGGAAAGGCCTATAAATCAGAAACTGGAAACCAAATTAACATTTCAAAAACATATTTGGTAAAATCTGAGAAAAACAACTTAACTACATAAATAGCTTGCACCGTTTGGCTCAAATAATGCACCAAAATGCTGTTTTTCAGTTTGTTCTCACTACTGCACATGCACATATTTCCAAAACAAGGGAAGCTATTCCTGCTTTCGACTGAACCAGCGAGCCATTTGACTCATTTTACTAAGGGCGGAACTTTCCCTGTAAACAAACACCATGTTGAGTCTTAGGAGCTTTCCCATTCATTTCCCCCCCACCCAACCAGCGAACTGTCTCCTCCTTTATAATGTCTCTGATTTGACTTTGTTCCACAGACCAGTTAACATTTAACATCTGATGAACCAGTTGTGCTGCAGACCAGTTAGCTTTTAACATTTGATGAACTGCGTGCTGTTGGTTTGGCAGCCAATGTGGTTGCAAACTGCTCAGCAGTCAAAATGCCATATTTGGATTGATCACACTGATCCATCTCAAACTGATGTGGCAGAATATGATTCTCAGTAGATTTAACTGTGGCTAGCATGCACTTAACAAATGTAAGTCACTTTAAAAGATTTCTGCTAAACCTTATTGCTGCTTTGTGGTTGCAAATTGCTCTTCAATCAAATCAGTGGTTTCTGATTGATTCCATTGATCCACCTCAATCTATCCAGTTCAAACTGATGTGATAGAATTTGATTCTCGATAGAGTAGATGCACCAGGATGTATTTGTTGCTGTGACACAATTGTGACGTACGCTACCAGACATCCAGTATTGTAAAAGATTTTAAAGGATAAACTTTGGTGATCTGATTGTGTTTGATGTGTGTGTGTTTCCATGGACATTAGCCTGCATCTAGTAAGCTTTATTGGTCTTTTCCTGTCTGTCTATCTATCTTCATCCACGGTCACTCCACTGATATGGTGTAGTTTTTCGGTAAAGGCTGCTTGTTATGCGGTCGACTTGTGAAAAGGGCAAACGAGGCTCATTTGTCCACCTCCCCAGCTATCCATCTTATCAACCGATCTACCTGTCTTACAGGAACAGATGTACAGCGTTTTAATTTTCACATCTCTTTATGTCTTGGAGATATGTAAAGACAGCAAATATTTACCAGAAACATGAGGGGCTCATGGAGGCTTTTGTCTGTCGCTTTCTCCTCATCTCTCACATGCACTGAAGAGGTGATGACGCCACATTTCCTCTTCTAGGAGCCAATAGCTTTGGCCTTCTTGTGCACTTTGCGCTGTGGATGTCTGAGCTTTATCGAGGTAGCCCATTACTCTGTATTATGCCCCCTTTTTGCTTCTGCACGCAGCCCACTGGGTCATGGGTTACAGTGATGTCATTGTGTTTGTATGGTTTTCTAATTGGGTTGAGTCTAATAGACTTAGTATTGATTTTCCATCTCTCTTTTTGTCTCTCTCTCTCCTTTTTTTCCCTCCCTCCCCCCCCTCTGTCCAGGTGTGGCCATGTCTGACGAGGCGGTGCGTCAGACGCGGAGTCAGAAGCGGGCGCTGGAGCGGGACTCACTGCCCGTGGACCTGGACGTGAAGAAGGTGAAACTGGAAGCTGGCGGAGAGAGCCGTGACCGTCCGGTTCTGCGGCCTAGGCCTGAGGCCTCCGCCCGGGGCTCCAATATTCTGAATGCCGGTGAGGTGAAGGCCACCATTAAAGTGGAGGTGCAGGCCAAAGAGGAGCCTGTGGACATGAGCACCACCAAAAGGTCAGTTAAATAGGAGCTCGAAATTAATGCTGCAGTGAGGTTTCGGAGATCTTTTAATTAGGAATGCAAGTCGCTGTTTTCCAAATATGCTTATGTTCCATCAACCAATATGAGTTAGTTGCGTTTTCGTCAGTGGGATAAGGCAAATACGTGTAAATAAAAGAAAGCAGAAAGTACATTTATTGAAACACGTCATGGTTCTTAATAGGGCTGTAATCGGTTTTACATTGAAATCGCAATTTAAGGGAGTGCAATTTTCAAAACAGTTATAGCCTACTTTATCAAAAATGCTGTCTTAAGTCTTAAGAGGGACAATTTAACCAAATAACATAGAATTTGAGAACTGCCTGTAGATAAGGTCACAAAACATGGATGTTCAGTTCCCTCTGATTGGTCTACATCACAACCACAACTTACTGGCAGTCTGGCACATTACATTAAGGGGTCAAGCCTCAAGCTAGTAAAGGTCAATATTATGGTCTTGTCAAAAAGGCCTCAACCTCAATTTATAGAATATAATCGCAATTTAAATCGTAGTCGCAATATTGGGAAAAAAACACAATTAGATGTTTTATCCAAATCATTTAGCCCTAGTTCTTAAGAAAACAACAAAAGTTGTTCTTGTGACTTGTGCAGTTACACCTGTAGGGGCAGTGGTGAGTTTTGTTTGTTTGTTTGTTTGTTTGTTTTGTTTGATCTGTGCCTGTTGTCAGTTGGGAGCTAGTTACTGATAGCTAGAAGGCAAGATCAGACACTTTAGGCTTGTATTTTAATGCAGTTAACCAAAAAAGGCATAATAAAAAGGAACTTCTTTATGTCCATGTAGGCCTGTCACAATCATGAATTTTAGCTGACAATTAATGGTTGTAAAAAATAATTAACTATTTCTGTTTTTTTTTATTATTTTTTTTTATTCATTCATCAGTGCATGTGTGCAGTAAAAATAGTACTAAATTATCAGTTAGAATGTTCAACTTATAGCATCAAACTGATGACAATCAGTTGTTCTAATTTATTGTTGAATAACACATCAGCCAAGGACATATTGTGTGCCCCAGTACCAATACTTGACTGTACTTCTGAAAGGCTGGTATTGGGGCTGATTAAGGCAAATTTTTGTGGATAGGACTTAGTTACTAATCTAATTTTGATCCTTTGTTAAGGCTATTTTACTCCATTGTACTTTTAAAACATGGTCATAGAGGTGACAAAAACAGACATTACAGACTTGGAGCAGTGCACCAATTTTTCTAGAGTTAACAAGTGGTTCATTGTGGAACTTAACAGCAATTCCAGTGTTTTGATAGCAAGTTAAACTAGCCATCCTACTTTCAAAAGGAGTACAACAGCAAACCAGTTAAGAACGTTACATTGAGATGCCGCAGCCATTCGTGTCAGAGTCCCAGAACACATAACTGGCCTCTGTCTCTCTCACTCAGCACCATTCTAGCCAACATGAACATCTGTTACTTCATGAAACAAAATTGGCAGTTAGCATTCTCCTCCAAGCGTGTTGAGCTGTCCAACGATATTACAGCACCCACCAGTTTCTCTTCTTGTGACTTCTTGTGAAGCACGTTAGCCTTCACCCTCCCAGCCTGGCAGCATTGTGTGATGACAGAGACCTAACTAGTGTCTGGAACTGACAGTTGCTAAATTGAAGGAAAATTAGGAAAAAAAAACCTAACTAAATAAACAAACAAACAAATAAATAAATGGGTTTGGCTTTACTAACTTCAGTATACTCACACACTGCGTGGCTGTATTATTGTGGATAATCGGATCAGACTTGTTATTGGTAGGAACTCTGATTTGGACTGGGGGCAAAAAACACTTGATGAGGGCATCCGTAGTTGGCTCATAAACCAATTAGGAAATGTGTAGACCCTGTGTACAGACCCTACTTTATGATCTAGAGGTGTCATGGATTCATAAGGCCAATGGCCGAACTCAGAAAGGGCTGGTTTCGCAGCTTTATAGAGCTGGACATAGCAAAAATAGCCCACATGAAAGTATATGATTCTGTTGCTCTGTTCACCATTGCAGTATCTTTTGTTGGGTCTTTCTTAGTTGTTGGTCACTATGGCATGTCCGAGGTCATTTCCACTCTTAATGAATGTATTCAAACTGTAACAATGACCGCTCACCCAGAAAAGGCAGACCTAAGATTCTAATCTGGACAGATTGTATGATAAAAGTCCTCTGAATGCAGTGAGGCTGCTTAGTGACTTCACTAATGAGCTCCGTCCTTAACAAAGAAAAACGAAACTAGTGGTATACAGGACTGGAGTTATACTCATAGTGAGCACAGACCTTGATGGGCTGAGATGACTGTGGAGAGACCACAGAAACAAGCAGGGAATGGTGCTGCAGTGCTTTTAAGAAATTGACCTATACATGCTCTGACCACAGACGCGTTCTATCATAGCTACAGTTGTGAGTTAAGAGCACCTCAGTCTAATGAAGTTGTAGTATACATTTTTTTTTTTTCAATTTGTCGAAATAACAAAATGTTGTGTGTTATTAATTACACAACTTGCATGGCTGAGCACTGTATTGCTATCTATTTTTCTTTTTCTTTCTTTTCCTCCTAGCGCAGTTAACACACCTTGAACTGCTAACTCTCTGTAACACATAATGTTTCATAGGTCATTTCAGTGAGAATTGCACTATTCGTTTTTCATTTTCATATTTAAATACGTTTTAAAAATGCTTCAGTTAAAAGTTAATTTATCCTTAGATTTATATTGTGTATTGTTTTTATTTCTTCCTGAATTCCTTCCTTTCTTTTTCTTCCTTCCTTTTTTCTTTCTTGTTTCCTTCCCTCCTCTTTTTCCCTCTTTCCCTTTCTTCCTTTCCTTCTTCTTTTTTGTCTCTTTTTCTTCTTTCCTTTTTTTTTCTTCCTTTGTGTTCTTCTGCCTTTTTAATTCCTTTTCTTCCTTTCTTCTGTCTTTCTTTTTTCTTTATCTCCGTATTTCATTTCCTCCTTCTTTGCTTTTTTATTTCTTCCATCCTGTCATTGTTTTTTTCTTTTCTTTTCTTTTCTTTTCTTTTCTTTCTTTCTTTCTTTACTTTCTTTTTTCAATTTATTACATTTCATATTTTCTTGCCTTCAGAAAATGCAAATCTAGTTCAAATGATAATTTTGTTTCTGAAAGGTCACACTGTCAGGAGAGACTGGGTGTGATTTGTATTTTATTTGAATATATAGTGAGTGTAAATGAATTAATGTTAGCATGGTGGCGAATTCATTTCAGCCTGCCTAGTTTCAGTTAATTACTGCAACACAGTCCAGTTCGCTAGTAGAACATTTTAAGCAGAAACTTTATGACTCTGAACTAAAAGTGCTACATTGCCACATTCGGCTGAAAGGAATATTTGCCATTGTTCTGTAAAGCTTGTCCAACTTCGCAGCAGTTGCTATTAAAAAATGCGTTTGTGGGCAGGACTTGAGTAATCAGGCCAGTGGTGCCCTGAAGAGCATAGAGTTTTAAGTTTTGGACATTTTGTTGCTCAGGATTTGTAGGAGGCCAGATACCTGGCTCTGTCTCATTGATTGTCTGACACCAAGACTAGAATGGTTGGTTAAGAATAAAGAAGAATAAAGGTTAAGTGTTTTTTTAAGAATAAAGATTTTTCTCTGCACTTTTCTGCATGAGATCATGAGCCAGAAGCAAGACTGTGTGTGTGTCCAAACATATGAATATCCACAAAGTGCGTCCAAAAGGTTGTCTGTGTGTGACAACTTCAGTGTTGACCATACACCTTGATCAACAGCTACAGGCCCTGAGGTTTTCCAGTGTTACCACTCGAGTGCTCCAAGGTTTTTCCATTGTTTTGCTGGATTCAGAATGTGCGTATCTGAGTGACAGTTGATGAAAATTGTTTCCACAATTCTTATTTAACCTAATCCTCTTGAATGCCAAGTACTAAATACCTCTGTGACAGTACCTATTCTTTTTAGAGTCTTCCTGTTCATCCCTTAAATAGCCTGCAGTTATGAACATCTGTCCTCCTCTGCTCCAAAAAATGCCGACTAAAGTTGTTTGTAAAAGTTTGGGTGACCCTGGTCAAATGACGTATTGTTGATTTTCTGAGTGAAAATAAGTTATGAATTAACACACTTCTGCACATTTTAAGGCACGTTTACTGTTTATTTGCTGTATTTAGTATATCAAGGCAGAAGTAAAATATGAAATATGGCCTGTGCCATGCACTTGATTACACGACAGATACCACAGCAGAAAAACATTTTATTTTACATGCCTGCTAAATAAATACCATTTGAAATTAATTATGCTCTCTAAATGTCTGTATTTTGACAAAAACTGATTTTCTTATTAGGTTGAATAAGATTTTTGCAAACCTTCTGTAAACCTTATCCAACTTTGTTACCTTGTATCTATTAAAGAAAGCTTTTGTGGGCGGAGCATAGATAGACAGCAATTTGTGTGCAAGACGAAAAAAGAGTAGCACTTCTCTGATGTCAGAGGCTGAGCAGAATTGGTTGTAGTGTTAGCCATTATCTGTTGAGGTGACCATTCAAGCGTTTAGCCTGGTTTCGTTGTCTTTGTGTCACAGCTGAAAATGTTGCCTGAATATGCATTTCTCATATATATGAATATGTATGGGTCAATGACAATTTCATTTTGAAATTTGCATTTAGATCTATGTGCATTTTAAATCTTGAAAATAGTTAGTGTTAGCAAACCTTTTAATTGCCTATTTCAGTCATTAAAACTGTACTGGTCTGAATGCACCACTTGATTTACTGGTTGTGCCACCTGACTTTTAAGATTAATTTCAAATTAAACAGACATCTGCTTAGACACCAGTAGAAACCTTTGATCTTGAGTTTATACTTAGATTTTTTAAAATAAATTATAAAATAAATAACATTATTATAAAAATGACACATTTTCGTAGTTTTCCTGAAGTCAAACCACTGTTTATGACACAATACCCTGGCCCCTCTTTCATAAAAGCATGTCAAAATAGAA